CCCCAAAACCCCAAAACCCCAAAACCCCAACTTCTCATAAAATATAAATTAAAAATCCCCAAAAGCATGAATTTCCCCACCTCTACCACCCCAAAAAGACGTCTAAACGCCACTTCCCTCCTCAAACTGCCCCCTTCCACCCTCACCCCCTCCTCTAGCCCCCTCACCTCCTTCCAAAACCCCCCTAAACCCTCCAAAATCAAAGCAAGTCCCCTCTAACCCCTAGGTCCTAAACCCAAAAGCCACTACCTTCGCTCTCAAAAGTAAGCCCTCCCCAACCTCTATAGTGCTAAAACAAAACTTCCATCTCTGCACTGGCCCTAACGCTAAGCCAGCTTCAAGTATTTCCCAAATAAAGAACATTACGTATAAATTTCTTATAAATTTCTAATCTCTAGGCAACTTTTGCCACATAAGAGAGGACTTAGGAATCTGAATGCGACTCCGAAGAGAATTAGGTTTGGTAAGGGAGATAAGGGATTTTTAGATGTCAAGATTTTGGGCCTGAGTGAAGATTTGCAAGAAGGAGAGGAGGGGTTGAGGGGAAGGGTGAAGGGGAAGAAAAGGAGAAGACCGAGGTCGTATAAGGGTGTACCTGAGGGGTATAAGTTGAGTATGGGAGTTTTGGTGAAAGATTTAGAGCAAAGGTTTCCTTTGAGGAATGGAAAAGGGCCCTCAGGATTCTCGCAAGGAGATTTTTATAAGGATCTGGAGGAAAAGATAACAGATGAGATTTATAGAATCGAGAATGAGGATGGGTATAAGAACAAGTTTGAATCACGTATGAGGTATTTGAACAAAAAGAAATACAAAAGAGAGGTAAAAGCTAAGAAAGTGAGGTCTAAACGTAAGCATATTTTAACCTTTTAGTCCTTCGACATAACAAAGAAATGGCAAAGAACTGGAGTCAGATAAAGAAAGAAGTTCAGAGCCCAGCTCATTCAGGAACACCTATGAACAAGAGATTTTATTCTTCCACTCAAAGCTTTAAGATTAAGGTAAGGTACTTATATCATACTTTTAGAGGTCTTTATCTAAGAAACCTTCAAGGAGGTATGGAAAGCCCCCAATTCCTAAAAAGAGTGTTACGAAATCTTTCAAAGATTATACCCTTTTTCTCTAAGTTATCTCTTGAACTCTAAATATTTTCTATTATCAATTTAAGAATTTTTCAAATCGAGCAAGATAAAAGGGGTTTTGGGGTTTTGGGGTTTTGGGGTTTTGGGG